TTACCTTGACGGTGTGGCCTTGGCCCTCAATAAGACTGTTAAAAACCTTGGGGTCTTCTTCGACCAAACGTTTTCCTGGGGTCATCACGTAAAGGAGATCAGCCGTAAACTTTACGCCGCTTCTTTTACTCTGAAACGTCTTTCTAATTTCCTTCCTATCTGCACTAAAACTATGTTAGCGCAGTCTCTTCTGCTTCCTATTCTCGATTATGCGGACTCATGCTCCACTGATTTGAACGAAGAGCTACTTGACAAGATCGAACGCCTGCAGAATTTCTGCATACGGTTCATATTTGGTCTTAGGAAATATGACCATGTGTCTAAATTCCGCAGGCAGCTGGGGTGGCTACCTATTCGATTCAGACGTCACGCTCATCTTCTTCAACTCCTATACTCAATTCTTTTCAATCCGAAAACCCCTTCTTATCTCAAAAGTCACTTTAAATTCTTAGGTCCTTCTAACTATATGTTACGCTCTTCTAATAGATGTTTATTGGAAATTCCATCTCACACTTCATCCTTCTTAGGCAATTCATTCACGATCTCCGCCATTAAGTTGTGGAATACGCTGCCCGACTCCGTACGATTGGCTACCTCTCTGTCATCTTTTAAAACTCTTCTGTATAATCATTACTTAACCTTATCCTATCCTGATCAATCGTGACTTGTATAAATCTTATGTTTCCTTTTACATCACTATTTGCTGTCCATGTATTTGTAAGATTAGCTTTTAAGTTTTTAGTCTATTGTTATTATTTTTTTTTGTATTACTTTAGATTAAGGTACTATGTATATATATATATTTTTTTATATAACATTTGTTACTGCACTTCTCGCACGAATCATGTTTTTTTTTTTTTTTTTAGTTTTTTCTTTAACTAGGGTTGCCTGGAAGAGATCGCTTATTAGCGATAAGGCCGCCCGTTGCATCCCTTATAATTTTTTTTTTTTTTTTGTATTGTGTTTGATTTATTGTTTTTTGCAACGAAGTGTTAATAAATAAATAAATATATTGGCACAGCGAGAAACTGTTTTGGTTTATCGGAAATAAATTGAATCGCGTTCAATTTTAATTTATGATAACATATCGCTATTATAAGTAGACTGGTACTTGCATTAAATTCATAGTCTTGCTAATAACAAAAGAACAGAAGTATTCTCTTAAAACGCCATTACTGTATCGACTCATTCAATGGTTAAAAAAAAAACAATTTACAACCTTTTTAGGTCTGGGCCGCAGTTTTCTGCATCTGTTTCGTAATCATTTGTTAATAGGCAAGTAGGTGATCAGCCTCTTGTGCCTGACACACGCCGTCCACTTTTTGGGTCTAAGGCAAGCCGGTTTCCTCAGTAGAACAGTTTTTAGATTAAGTAATTAACAAGGAAAACATCATTATATTTTTTTTCATTCATCATTATCATTGGCGTAGTTTAAAATTTAGATTTATATTTTAACTCTTATGTACTAGGACCTATAGGTAATTTGTATTCGAACGTGTGTACGCTAATCTAATCTTATCAAAAGCATTATTTAAAATATATTCCTAACAAGTGAAACGACAATATTTCTTTTATACATTAATTATTGTTTACGTAAGCAAAGCTTTTAAGTTTTAACCTTCAACTTTTTTAACTTTGCCTACGCTTTTGGCAACAATGACATCAAACACTGGTTGACCAATTGTATGAAGAGTTTTCGCAATTTATGTACTTGAAATGATTGTTTTCAATAGGCGGCGGTTCAATGTCTAAAAACTGCTGAACCGTGACATTTCACAGGATTCCGTTAACAACGAACTTTGTGCCGATATTCACGTAACCATTTTTACAGGTATATTTTAGTTATTGCTACGATTATTTGTTCCCTGTCAAGAGACCCGCTTTAAGCCCTCGACGGCTTACGTAAAAATAGTACTAAGGGCCAACAACCCAGTTTGTACTAAGGGTCAAGGGAGAGACCGTGGCGTTTTGTGTCTCTTTTATAGTGTGCTCTGTCTCGCTCTAAGTGAGCAGTGCGTAGCCCTACAGTTGTGTTCAACCACATCTGTACGTTGTACTGGCAATTGAGAGCAAAGGCAGCTGGGCAATCGTCTTTCAACAAGACATTGAACCCGGTAACCTTTTTGGAACCCATATCCTTATCCGACATCTTACCATTACCCACCAAATCCTATACGAAGACCGAATAACCCTGACGTCCAGTGGCCAAATAGGCCGCAGTGCGTTGACCCAAGCTCTCTTGTCAGGTACTAGGGCCTCCGCGCCCGGTCGCTGCATACGTCGGGAAGACGAGACGTGGGGGGATCGGCGAAGGCGCACGCAACACTTAGCCTTTCCTGCTATTGCACATAGGTAAGAGAATTATATTCACGGCCTCTATAAACATTTTTATATAGCTACTAAAAATTTACTATTCGATTCCTCAAAACATAACTTGCGTGTTTAACCCACGAGAATGCAAGTGCGTGCTCCTATTTCACCATGCCTCCTGCTGATAGAGGACAAATCTTTGTTTTTAATTTATTGTATTATTACTTAAGATATCAAGTGGAACATGGTGTAATGGTTACAGCTCCTTACAAACATTGTGTAAAACAAAAAACCATGGCGATTAAAAAGAGTGGCGGAGAGTTTATTGCCAGTTCTCTTCCGTTCTACGCCCTTGATTTGAGAACTGGCAGTAAATGTTAAATTAGAATCATTTCATATATATTTTTTTCATGAGCATTTTGTTACCTATATGAATAAATGATTTTTGTATTTTAAAACATTGTCTTTGTTTTACGGGAGTGATACATTTAAATAAAACGGCTGCTCTATCACAACTGCTGATAAAAAAAAAACATAAATGCGTTAGTGGGATATAAAGAAGATTTTAAATAACACTATGTCACCAGTGAACTTCAATAATTTGTATATTTTCTAACAAGTGCAAAGTTACTTTAAATTAAAAGCCGATGTCTTTGAATGCTTATCTATACAAATAGAACATTGACTTGAATAATCGTTTACATGTGTTGTTTACGTCAATTGTAGAGTTCGATGCCCGGGGTTTTGTTTTTCTTAAAAAATAAACGTTGAAAATATTCTGCGTTAAAATTCGTTTATACCCATAAATAATGTTATTATATTTTATCAGTATTAAACATCTACGTAACTAAATATATATAAAACAATAAAAATAATCGTTTCTACATTATGTGCTTAATTAAATGAAACTCAGTTACGTAAATAAATAATTTAATGTGTAAAACTCACAAACCGAAGACAATGAAATTAAAATATATAATTAAACTACCGGCCAAGCGTTGCTATGGCTAAGGTTTTTGTTATATGACATAGTTTTTAAATCAAGGGAAACGGTAGAAGAACACCAGTCATGGGGACCACCATGCTTTATTGGTGGTTATGCCATTAAATTGTAGCTTATGTGAAACGTTGGTAGTTTCAACACAGCGCCATCTGTTAGAATTGTGACTATCAAATAATAAACAAATATTTTGCAATAAAATAATATTGCGGGTAAAAATTGAGATTTAAGCTATCCTATCTTTTAAGTTAGATCAAACCAAAACGGTGTGCAAATTTGATTGAAATCGGTTCAGTAGTTTAGGAGTCCATAGCGGACAAACAACGTGACACGTAATTTATATATATTAAGATAGGCAGAGAGCGTTATCAAATTATTGCGCTATAAACAGATTTGCATGATCACGCTGTAAAATGAACCAAAGTATCATGCATATAGTGTGCTGATAAGATAAAATTGCGTCATAACAAAAAATATTTTGTTGAATAAATTTACCTCAAATGGGCGTGATAAAATCATTTAATATATCCAAAAAAGTTTATATAGATTTTGTGTCTTGGTGAGGTATGGACAAGAGCTGGTAGGAAATGTAATTACTTGTTTGGTAACTATCAGATGTTATGTAAACGTTACCTATACAATTTAAATACAATATGAGGTAAATTTATTGCGTTGTGATAATATGTTTAGTAAACAAGTGTTATTTTTTTGTATTTTTGACTAGTCAGAGCTCATACTCTATTCTCTCTCTCTCTCCATTACACTATTGTCAAATGTTGTAAAACTAACAATTCTAGATAACTGCGCTAAGAACGTACAGTGGACTCTTGTTAATTTGATTTATTTCCGATCCCTTGAATCGATGATGAATGGAATAAATCAATTATAATTGTTCCCATGGGTGATTTTATGTCGAAGGAAATAGTATCTTGCACGCCAACATGCGATAATTTGAAGTCTTTATCTTGCACAGAAATGTCATACTACCCTTAGCTTCTACGCCCTAAGAATCAAGCCTAAAGACCATTTCTTCGCAGCTCTCACCACTATCGATAATTCTTTGGGCAATAATAGACTGAAGTCGCATACTCAAAAAAATATTATGGACTTTTCGAAATAATTTTTTAATAATATAGAAATAATAAATCACGAATTTTGATCAAACTCTTATTTACATGAGTCCCCCCTCCCCTCATGGTTAATGCAACGCTACCAATAATTTGAAATTTATCTCTGGTCCCTGGAGTTTAAAATTATCGAGAGTCGACTGTACCATGTTAGGGTTAAAACGTTCTCTTGTTGACTAAATATTTCACAATGTGCTAAGGATTAACATACTATTATTATTATATTACTTAATATTAACATACTAGCGGACCCGACAGACGTTGTCCTGATATTTCAAGCGATCAGGGGAGCGTTCAAGTATTACGTCACGCAATTTTTGGAGATTATTGACCCCCCCATGTAACGCGCCGTAACGTTTTACAAAAGGAGGACCCCCCTCCCAAAATTCGTTACGTAATACTTGAACGCTCCCTTAATGCAAGTATATCAGTGTTAATTTAATAAATATTCTACATTTTTAATTCTTAAATTTATTTAAATAGTTAATTTATAAGTAGTGTAATGTAATAATAATATAAATTTGTTCAGGTGCCGATTCACCCTCAACTCGCATAGCCCGACAATGTCTCGAGCGGGCGCGGGGCACCCGGCCGAGACGGGCGTACGTGACGATCCAACGATGCTGTACGTCGCACTCAACGATCTGCTGCAGATGGAAGCCAAGTTCAGACCAAGGCTGGCGTTGCCCAAAGATGAACAGGTGAGACTAGCTTCTTATTCGTAATCCTACAGCTAACTAAACTTATATATAACCAAAAAACAATTATACTAAACATATAGCCAAAGATATAGAATACATAATATATATCCAAAAAGGTGAAAACATTTACGAAAGGAAAAAATCAATAAAATTAAATACATTTAACTAACAGAGAGCAGACATAGCATTTAGCTCAATATGGTTATTTAGTGCTTCTTAATACTCCTTAAAGATATTCCGCTATAGATTCAAGTCAAGGGTTAAATAGTGTATGAATTTATCTCTTGATGGTTCAGAAGACGTTTTCATGGATTCTGACTGATTCTGATGTCATTGTTGCTTTGGTTTTAAATTTGTATTTGGTTAATTCTGTACAAATGTATCTTATGTTATCTTTACGTATTTCTTGCTAATTGTTTTTGAATAAAGTAATTTAAAAATCTCCTACATTCTAGAGTTAATTTTTCTTGTAATATTTTCTGTTGTGTTTTCCATATGATTCAATTGATCCAATCAACGCATAGCTTTGTAACGGATAGTAGTTGATGTATTTATGATGATAACATCCACTTTGTGACTGTTGAAAATCCCATAACGAAATAAGGGTTCATTATCAAATATCATATCAAAAAAGGATAACTGCGCGAGCGACAATTATTAGCAAGTTATAATAAGTTTGCTAGTCTCATGCGCATAATTTATTGTCAAAATCTGGCCAATTTAAGTGCCGGGACTACTATTTGTCTAATATAAATAGCATTTATTTGAGTACTATACTACACTATAACCACACTAAGTCCATGTCATTTATCTTTTACCCTAGTACTCGACCTCCGACGGAGTGAGTCCTCCAAATTCTTCCACTTGTCTCTATTCCTTGCGACAATTTTCCAATATTTCCCCGCTATCCCTTTTATTTCATCTTACCAAGTTTTTGGTGAGCATCCTCTTTCTTCTTTCCACTGGGCCATTCCTAGTAAGGGTCTCTTTGTTTAATACTAGACTCAAAAACGTTTATGAAACGCTTGACCCGCCTTATCAACTGTTAGCAAGCATTTGCATAACTAGAAGGCCTGTTACGCGAATAGAATAACAAGTGTGTTAGTGAAAGTTAACAACGGTGTTCTATGTCCTAAAGAATTTTCATCACCTTGATGGCTGCGAGTCTACCACGGTCTGCTTCACGAGACACTTTCTTTTTCGAAATAGCTAATTGTGGAATCTACTCTTGGTAGTCTTCCCTGGGAGATACGATCTTCAATTGTTTAATGAAAGAGTATACTCCTCCCTCCAAAGCCGGCAACGTATCAATTAAAATGGGTGTCCATAGGGCGCTTATGGCTGCCCTTTTGGGTGTTGGTATGGCTGTTTATTTTTTTAACTCGATATATAAACCTTATTCATCAAAAATTATTTAAAAATAATAATAATAAAGCCCGTTTTATTTCCAATCATGACAAAAACAAATTATAATACACAGCTTAGATTTTTCTTTTTTGCTTGTTATCCTAGATCGGAACCCCTTCACGTGTAAAGGCCCCCTCCAGCTTTTTCCAACTGACTCTGTCTATGGCTCTCTCTCTCTCTCTTTCTCTCTCTCCAGTCGTTTCCTGCTACCAAAAAAATATTTTATGACATTATTTATGACAAAAAAAATTATTCACTTAAAAATTAATTTTAATTTTACTAACATAGTTATAAGTATTACTTACTAACAATATATGGACTTTTTAATGGTCTAAATTAAATGATTTTTTTTTTAAATATCGCAGGGCATTTTATATATGATTTGACCAGAGCTATCATTCGTTTCGCAATGATGATCTAGCTAGAAACTACGAAACAGTGACCATATTTAAACCATTATTTAAAATAATTTCAGAGTGGCGAAGTAACGATCGGCGCACGCGATGGCGCAGCGCACGTCCTCAAATGCCTCAAGGTGTGGTACGACCTGCCGGCTGACGTGCTCGTCAGCGCTATCAGCTTGTTTGATCGGTGAGTGTCAAAACTGTCATTAAAGAAGTATGTCTAGAAATATGTGCTAGTAAAGATTGCCCATCATCATCAAAAATTTTTACATTGTCCACTGCAATACTCTAAGAGTTTTTAATCATGATGTCCTGACAAGTTGATGATTAAACTGACCCATTAACTTAACTCATAAGATTCAATTCTATATTTTTAAGGCAAGTGAATTTGGTGGGCAAAAGTAATTTTTGTATTTAAGACAACACTCTTTCAAGTAATCTTTTCTTCATAATGAATTAGTTTTTGTTGGGTTTTGAATGCACATACTCAAGAAATTGAGATCTTGAGATAGCCAGGTTGACTACTTGTATTAAACATATAATAATTATATAATAATTATATAATATTTGTATTTCAGGTTCCTAACAAAAATGAAGGTGCGTCCGTGTCACATACCCTGTATCACTGTATCGTGTATGAACATCGCTATTGACGAGTACGCCGAGGTGAACAAGCAAGCGAGGAAGGTTACAGTTGAGGAACTGGGTAAGTGGTTATAACCTCATCTACATCTGAATTAGTTAACCAATTCTAACAAAATTCTAATTTAAAAAAGATTGTCTTAGAAATTTACATAAAAACTCCACAATTACTTACCCATATACTGTATACTAGCAGACTCGGCCAAGCGTTGCTGTGGCTAAGGTTTTAGTTATATTACATAGTAGTAACCTATTCAAGGGAATCGGTAGGAGAACACCAGTCATGGGGACCACCATACTTTTTTGGTGGTAATGCCTTTAAATTGTAGCTTATGTGAAACCTTGGTACTTTCAACACAGCGCCATCTGTTAGAATTGTGACTGTCAAATAATAAACAAATATTTTGCAATAAAATAATATTGCGGGTATTTATATGAAGATGTAAGCTATCCTATCTTTTAAGTTAGTTCAAACTGCACACAGTATGCAAATTTGATTGAAATCGGTTAAGTAGTTTAGGAGTCCATAGCGGACAAACAACGTGACGCGTAATTTATATATATTAAGATAAAAGTTTAATAATATTTGTATACCTCATAAGAGAACATATTGGAAATTACGTAATTTAAGGAAGGCAGTATGTAGTATATGGGGTTCAAGCGAGCGATAAACAAATTTGACTCATAAATGAAAGTATTTCCAAGGCCCATAATAATAAAAGCATGCTGAAAACCATTCCAAAGCAATATGCTTTCCCAGTTTTATGCAAAAAGTTGTATGCGTGGTGGAGATGGAATCTGGAGTTCCTTGATTATGTTCCACGCAGTTCTTAAAAATGCTTGTAAACTTTGTAACATTTACAAATGAAAATCATTGTGTTATTTTGATGTGAAACATCTATAGCCGCACGTAAAACCGATTTCTGGCGTGTCGACGCATGCCGTGGCGATGCGTCGCCACGCTATATGATGGTATATCACGATTTAAAATAAATTCGTTTATTTTTGTGTTTAGTTCCTATCACGATCTGTTCTTTTCTACATATTACTTTTACAAAATAATGTAGATTTTTCACATCTGCCAGGCGTCCCGTGACGGCTCACGTTTTTTTTTAAGCCTTGTTATAGATTATAGAACATAAATGTTACTAATCCTCAGTTACCCAATTTTTTTTGAAGAAAACAATTTTTAATATTAAATTAGACGACTCATTGGTCTAGTGGCTGACCCCTGACTGCGAATCCATGGGTCCCGGGTTCGATCCCCGGCTGAGACGACCATCGATGTGATGAGCATTTGGTGTTGTGCTTAGGTCTTGGGTGTTTAAAATTTTTTTATGTCTATCTATCTATAATATGTATGTATATCCGTTGCCTAGTACCCATAACACAAGCTTCACCAGCTTTGCATGGGACTAGGTCAATTGGTGTGAATTGTGTTTAAAAAAAAAAAAGATTTTTATTTATATAATGTAATATTTCCAGTCTCAGTCTCCCAATCGGCCTGCACAGCTGGTGACGTGTCTCGCATGTCCCGAGTGATCACGGACAAGTTGGCCTTACTACATGGCTCTGCCGTCACAGCGTTGCATTGGCTTCGACTCCTCAGACGTCTGGTGGCCAGCGCGGCACAGGAGTTCGGCCTGACTAGGCCTATCTTGGCTGTGAGTATCTTACCTATCTTACTTAAATAATAAATTGGATATTCGTTGCATGTTGTGTATGACATTTGATTTGATAAATATCTCCATTCCGGTCTGAAAGTTGAAGACTAATTTCTAGTGAATATTTAAAATAGTAATGTAATTTGAAAATGTCTACCTACGATTTTATGGAGGGGGGTCCTTTGCAAAACGTTATGATGCGGGGATTGAATTATGCGTTATTGTTAATATTATTTTCGACTTTCCAGTACTTTATGCCACATAATGGTAACTTTTAGGTATAAAGAGTCACTGGGTGGTCACGCTATCGGGTACAGAAAAACGTTACGGTGCGTTACATGGGGGGGGGGTCCCCAATAATCTCCGTAATACGTGAACGCTCCCTTAACTTTTTATTAATAAATAATTATTGTTTCAGCCATCATCTGAAGAAAATTTGATCAAGTTATTGGAGATTGCTATTTGTGACGCGGGCTGTGTTAACGCACGGACCAGTGAATTGGCTCTTGTCATTGTCTACCATCAACTTGGTAAGTACATACGACTTTTCCATATGTTTTGGGTAACTCTGCTTAGATAAAATTCAATCTATCAAAATTATCAAATCTATGCTCACTGTGTGAAGACTTAGAACGTGACATTGGCGGAATTGTGATTTACACAGAGGTCGCCATTATAAATAAAGTGAAAGTGAAGTTGAAGACTTTTCCAAATTATCTTTGAAAAGAAAATAGTAATAACTACACAAATTATTTTAATATTAATATTGGGACTGAATTACTAATTAAATTTTTTTTTTTCAGAACAAGAACTGCTTGAATGGAGCAGGGAAAGCCCGGTCCCAGACGAAGCTTATTGTCTATACGAGTTCGCCGCTCACTTACAGGCACATTGCAACGTAAGTATTTTTAATTTATCCTTATTTTTAGCCATTCCGTACTTTAGATTATAAAATAATGATATGAACATCTTTTTTTTTATGTAATAGGAGGCATACCGGCAGGAGGCTCACCCAATGTTAAGTGATACCGCCGCCCATGGACACTCACAATGCCAGAAGGCTCGCAAGTGCGTTGCCGGCCTTTCAAGAATTGGTACGCTCTTTCTTGAAAGGCCCTAAGTCGTATTGGTTCGGAAATACTTCAGTGGGCAGCTGGTTCCACAAAGTGGTGGTGCGCGGCAAAAACTGCCTTAGAAAACGCTCAGTTGTGGAACGACGGACGACATCTATTAAATTATGTTTAACGTTGTTCGACAATATATAATTATATTTAATAAAACACTATTTTGACCGGATTGAAGTTATGTATTATTATACATAACTTAGTCACCGTGACCACGCACGCTGTAAAGCACGCGAAACGTCGGATAAATTTAAAATTATGTTAAATAGTTGTAAATTTATAATAATACATAACTTCAATCCGGTCAAAATAGTGTTTTATTAAATGAATAAAAGTTATGTTAATCAAAGACAATATATAATTATATACTAGACGATACCAACAGGCATTTCTATTAATTGTTGTAATTTGACCTAAATAATGATTTAAGTATAAAAATCTATTCAGGATTTTTTTTCAAATGCGCGCGGTATATATGTATGTTTGTCTTAAAAAAGCTAAAAGTTTAAATAAAATATTTTGGTTTCAATCGGATTACAATTTAGACAACAGTCGAGAGTTTCATTAATATTAGTTCAGTAGTTTTTTATGTATACCCATGTCACTGAAAGATATTAGTATTTGTAGTACTGTATTAATAAAATATTAATTTTCAGATGAACGACGCATCCCTTCTAACAACACGTAACCGTTTCCGCTCAGTACTGGCTAGTTATGAGACCCGCGCCGCTGCCCCTCAGAGACAGAGGCTAGTGTGGAGACTCTCCGAACGGACGTTCAAGGTGCTTCGCCCCACGGACCGATTGACGTCCCTTCTCCCAACCATCGAGGAGCAAAATTTCGCTGTTGACGCGACACCCACTAGGAAGCGGTAAGCGCATATTAACTTTTTTGTTGACCGTACTTTAACTAACTTAGTCCGTTGTGTCAGCTTAAGCGCTGCGGAATCAGAATACACACATGCGGAGACAGGTTATCATCAGGTTTAAGAAATATGACTTCAAGGCCGTCTCTCAATTCTTAAGCGTTTAAGGGTAAAAACGAATAATATTTTTTATAAAATAACACATACATGTGTTATCTATGCTAGAGAAAATGTTTGATTCAATAATATTTTTGAAGTGAAACTTTAGGCGCATGAGGGTAAAATTTTTACGGAACGTCACGAAGATGTGCAGCGTTTTTGTCGTATTTTTAAGCTATTGCATAGCTTCTATCGCGGGCCTCGAGCGTGGAGACCGAATCCAGATATTCCGTAACGAAAAAAACCTTACGCGTTAAAGCGGGACAGAACGCATACTGTGTATTCACATCTCTCTGACGAGATCGGTGCAGCCGGTGCGCGTTAGAGTGAGACACTATATAGGCGTTTTAGTCTGAGAGTGGTAGATTGAATTAATTTATCAAAGAAAAAACAACAACTAATTTTTGTTCTGGTTTTTAATTAGCCTTAGTATCATTCATTAATATAGAAAGACTGACAAAATTAAATTATGGGATTTGGGCAGCTTAATTACTCAATAATTCATTTACAAAGAAGTTTGAAGTTTTTCACTTCTGACATGTGTACTTTATCCGCACGCACTTGTCGCAAGTTTTAAAATAATTTAAATCTTTTTAGATCCGGGAGCGAAAGCAGCGAAAGCGAAGAAACATCCGATTGGCCAAGAAGCCCCGTTTTGCCTGTCTACTGCGGAAACTAGCTCTAAAACCTTTGAACCGGCCGAGGACCCCAGAGTGTCAGCTGTCATCTGTCAACTGTCAATGTCAAGTGATTGGCGCCAGATCCCACTTTTGAACTTTCAAAATTCCGTGATCCGCATCTATTGACATTTAAATATGGAACCGGTTCGAATTCAGAGTATTAATTTGTAATTTTTTTATCGCATCAGTCAGGGCAATGTTCGTTTTTTTTATTTTTTATCGATATATAGCTTTATTAATTGTAATTTTTTTAGATAATCTTATCGGCGGTGTATCATAGACAATGTTACTAGAGTGCTATACTGTAGATTAAATCTATTTTTAGGCCCAAAATTTTTCTATTTTTTAACACCTAGCAATTAATATATTAACGAAATTTATTTTTATTTTTATTAGTACTTAGTACAGCTTTAGTTAAGTTTCATCATTTTCCCTAGTGCTATACCGCCGATTACAGAAGCGAGCATTGCTCTAGCCGATAGCTTTATAGTTTGTACTGTGATGATTTTTATAAGTGAAAATGTTCAAAAAAAAAATATTCCATATTTTTCTAGACGTAAGCTATTTTAAGACGTGTGAATGTGAAGGAAGTCCACCGATTGTGAGGGCCGGTTTTTCAATTGCATTTTGTCAGTCAAGGTTAGGACTAGCTCATTTGTTGGATTAGGCCCGTATTCTAACAGCGTTTCAGTCTCAAACCTCTAGCACAGGATTTGACAGTTCCAAATAGTGTGGCAAAACTTAACGCGAGAAATGCGGCCGTAATTTTTGTGTGTTTGAAAAACGGGCCCCAAATTTTCTTAGTCGCATGCTGTCTTGGCCGGGTAAAATTTGAAAATATTTTTTAACTTAGTATAGTCTAATGTCTTAAATTATATGTAAACGAAAAAAAAAACAATATAATTTGAAAAAATCATAAAAAAATGATCTCAAATCATTTCATAATATTAGCTTAGATCATTGTGTGTATGTTTGTTTCGTATTTTAGTTATTTATTTCAATAAAATTCGGTCGGCATTTTTTAGGTTGCCTCGTAAGACCCCGACATTTTAATCTGTTGCATTTTTAGTGATATTTGCTTTTATTCTGTGACATTATGAATATATAATAATACATTACGGTTGTCAAAACCGAGCCACAGATAAGGATTCAATTTACATTTGATACTATATCATGTATAGTTTAAATGGTAGCTAATTTGTGTGAATGTAACGAGTTATCACCAGGACCGAGTAATGTGTTCATATTTTATGTAAAATTTTGTATCTGCATTTAATAGTAATGTACAGCGTGTGGGTACAAGCTAAATTTTTAATATTATATAATTTATTTTGGACGTCAAAAATTATTTTTGTTATTTGAATCAAATTCGTTTTTAGAATTTTATTTGAAGGTAATTGAATTTGTATGAATGTTTTGTTGTAACACGTTGTACATATTTTGTCGAACTCGAATTAGAAGAATAAAGAAATTGCGACCTTATTTTTTCTTTCATTTCATCCGATGCTTCGCTAGATTTATTTTGGCACAGATTTTAATCATTATAGTAATTTTTTATGAAACCATAATTCATATTTATTTATTTATTTCGTATTCCTACAGCTAACTATATATAAAAACATACAATTACACTAAAAATACAGCCAACGATGGAATACAAAATATTGAGGTAAATGTTCAAACATTTACAAAAGGAAAAAACAAATAAAAATTATTCAATATGTTTGACAAGTAATTTCTTATTCGGCTGTGTATGTGGGGTATGCTCATGATGCATGTGATTTTGCGCTATGGATATTCCTAATACTCATTTTAAACATACACATATTTTGCCCATATCTGTGCATGAGCATCGTACAAAAATACATTAGGTTTAAATTTACACAGATCCGGCACTTCATTTTGAATTAAGTAAGGAAGTTGGTTTTAATGTGTGCAACATGTCCGTTATAGTTGTAGTCAGGAACTTGTTTGGATGAGTTGCTTACCATGCCTCGGCGTTGCCAGATTGTCTCAGGGTTCAGACATTCAGAAGTTAGAGGAAAGGTGCATGAAGCGTTGTGTTCAAGTGAGAAAACTTACACAATAATAAACCAGTGACTCAACATGTATGCGAACTTTCAATGGCGATTCCAATGAAAGGAATAATACTTTTTGCTTGAAAACATGATATGTCAAGTTAGATTACGCTCGACATAGATGGCGCTATTTGAAGTATTAGCGTTTCCACCTTTTAATTATTTATTTGTTTACATCAAAGCTAAATAATAACATTATATAACTCTTAGTAATTTTAATAATTCTTTAAGTTATTTGGTTTTTATATAACATTATGGGAAGTTCTATCTTGTTATAAATCACAACCCATTTTTATCATTGTTAATTGGTTTATTCTTCACAAACAAGAGTAATTAATTTATATTGTTATAGAAACGCTCAAGGAAATTGTACGATCATGCCAGAAATAAAAAAGCTGAAATATCTGACATAAGAAATTCCTTGTTTAACATAATATTTAAAATGTAAATTATTAGTGTTGTTACGCTTAAGTACTCTACTTAGTGTCTTCTAACTTCTAACTTTGAAAAACATCGAATTTGTTGTTTGCCAACGGTTTATAGACAGTTTAAATCAACAGGCTAGGCAAGTAATGTAAAGTCATCGATCCAAATCATTTTCCTAGCTGTTTAATCAAATGTATGAACATTATTCAGGCCGATTGTTGAACGGCGCTGTTCAACAATCGTCGGCGTATACGACATTATGTATGTCAATCACTTTCGTTAAATTTCCATAGTTATCTTGAATCTGCATTTCATTTTATTGAATGTATCCCAAGTAATTGTTGTGAATATGTTGTTCCGTTTCTAATATTTTATAGTAGCATGTCACACATAAATAAATAAAACAAAAATATCCATGAGATTTGTATAAAGGTTTATTAATAAAAATATAACATTTTAAGTCTTACGTCATAAGGCATTTTCAGAGCAATTTGTACATTTTAAAGAATTCATAAATACGAAAAATATATCTGTCAAGAGATCTTAAGAAAAAACTTAACTAAATATATACAATTCGCCGAAAACATATTCCTCATTAACTCCCCACCAAACTTACCAAAGACAAGGATTTCTATTGTCTTTAGTATTACAATATATACATGTTTTGTATTTCGATCTTATTCCTATTTCTATTTAAATCAGCTTTAAGCTGAGAGTTTTTTATAAATTTAATAATATAAAATAACAATATTTTTTTGTTGTTATTTTTTTAAATTGTAACTTAATATTTACAAGAACAAAATATACATCTAAATAACACAACTAATCGAAATTTTTCATTAAAAACTTTTTGCTTAACATGTAAATTGTCATGGCATATGTAATTTAATAAAAAAAACTGAATCAGTTCAATTGGACTCAGTACTTTCGTCTCTTTCTGTCACAGTGTGGTTACGCTAAGATGAAAAGAGACAGATGCGTACTTATAAACGGTGCTAGTGATTTATTGAAGTTATACTTCTTTAGGCGCGTTATTAAAAAATTGATGAGAGTGAAATTTTACGATGCGCGCGCACCGTGACACAAAATTAACAGAATGAAGTTGTCCACGGAAGATGCTACGGCATTGGATGATTGGACATAATTTAAAAACAACATTCGAATAATAATAGAATTTATGTTACACTTAATATAAGAGAATAATAATAAATATTCATTTAATTAATTTTTCGAATGTAAACTGAACTTTATTGACTATAATGACTCCTTTTCCAGGCTTTGATTATTTAATTGTAATTAATTATTTGCATGCAATCATAAACTATTTTTAATAATGCCAAAGAAGTATAACTTCTTACGCGCGTACATAAGTACACGCACCCTTTTTTTATTTATGAATAAGGGTGATATATCATCTAAGATTATAAGCTTAAATATAATAAATTTACATTCTCGACACTATTAATCTAGGTCAAGATAACTCTGAGACGAAAATACCACTGGGTGACAAATTTTAATAAAAAAAGAGTATGTTCTATTATTATAAATAACTATAGAACTGGTAGTTATTCGTGTATGACAAATTGGAAGATAATATACTATGATATATAATGGGTATATATATGGGTAGGTATAACAAGTGAAAATCGTTACACTATCCCGCTAAATATATCCCTCCATTTTAAATAACGAGTCTTGCCCATCAAAAAGTATTTATACCTTCAAACTGTCTATGAGAGCGTTCAAGTAGCGTAACGAATTTTCGGAGGGGGGAGAGTCCATTTGTAAAACGTTACGATGAGGGACGGGGATTCAATTACGGGTTATTGTTAATATTATTTTCGACATTCCAGTACTTTACACCACATAATAGTAAGTTTTAGGTTTAAAGAGTCACTAGGTGGTCACGAAACGTTTTACTACTAACCTTTACACGGGGTTTGGGGGCCAACTATCTCCAAATTGCGTGACGTAATACTTGAACGCTCTCTATGTCACTATTTGACAGTTTGACTATTCTTTGTACCAAAACGGCGGAAGCCAAATCGGCCACAATATATTAAATAATCGGACTTATTATGTATAAGTAAGTGTGAATATTGAGGACATCGGATCATCTACGCACTATGACAACGTCAAAGTAATATATACTATGCGTGTTTAAAAATCTTAATACATATATGTACATTTGTTTAATCGTAAATAACAAAACAAATATCGATTGAATTTTTTTATTAATTTTTCCGGCACTTTTTGAGAAATTCTAATACTTCAATCGGAAAGTTTTCCGATTTCGATTTGCTCGCTGATCGGGCGTATTCCAGGGGAGATATCGAACTGAAAAAAAAATTATATTGAATATAAAAATGTGAAATTAGATTCTCAATAGCAGTAAATCGTGTGATTGGGGCAAGATCGTGACTATGGTCCCTCTATCTCAACTCTTTGCTTTTGAGCTTTTCAATGTCAAATTTTATACCAAAAAAATCTTTTGACAGATCTAGATATAATTTTGATTGACATTGTAGAATCCCGTATGTATATCATCGTATACATTTTTGACAGTCTCGACTCTACTTGCGATTACTCTGAGGTCGTGAGTTTGAATTTCGGCGTGTATGTTATTAATACAGTTCTTACTCTCAAGAAGAACATAATAACCAAGTCTTTAACACAAAAATCAGCTTGTTAGGCACAAAACGCTGAACAAGAGATAAACTGTCAAACATATATGTACAATTGTTATTATATATAGGTCTTGAGCGCAAGAGATGTAGCACGTACAATGTACTTATGAAATTTAAATTTTTTTGAGAAGTTTTTTTTTTAAATTAAAAGTATGCGACAACATTTTTCCACGTGCCTCTTACAAACACGAATTATCTGCGTAATTCGCCAATGTGTAGATGAAGATGTAGACTTTTCCACCTTACCAAAGAGGGTGAGAGGAAATATTCTAGGAGTCGGGAAAACTTTGGGCTTTATTAAGCAGTAGTAACAATTTCTTCTTCTTTAAAATATTAAGTTGTACTTAATTTATCTATGCTTTCTGTTTTGTATATTTTGTTTGACAATGTAATCAGTTTTGGCTTTGTAAATTGTGTAAGTGTTGTGTAAGATTACTGATAAATAAATAAAGTTCATCTTACCTTAGATTCGGCGCATGCGCAAGGTCGTACCACCGTTTTCTGTCGATGTGTTTAAAGAGTATCATTATTAACTTCAGGTCACAGTTTGCGGAATTCACCACTAGATGGAGCGCTGTCTCGCCACCTTTTACGTCCTGTAAAAAACGGTTTATTTAGATTGAATACTTCCAAATACGCCCTACGCTACTAGCAAATATAGGATAGTTTTACAAGGAAATACTTTTTTAAGGCTAGAATATTTTTTTAATGACTGTAAAGTACATTTAAGTACTTTTCGTCATCTTTATAAGAAACGTTTCATTATCAATCGAGGCAAACATCATTATTAAATATCTTAAAAAAATAAACAATAATAAAAATGGCGATTCGCGCGTTTTTGTTTTGACATTTTTTTTTAATTCGGTCCGGGCGCGGTCTTTTTGACAGTAACGTCTCCATATAACATTAGTAATTGATCTTTTTGGTTTGCAACATTAAGAATATGCATATTCCAAATTCAAAATTTAATTCCTAAAAACATATTTTAGTTCCTTCCTAAATTTTACATAGACATAAAATTATATATAATTTTCTTATAGGTTAATGATTAACTACTAAGGGCTAAATCGTCTGATAGGCTTGACAGTGAAAAATAACCCGTTATTGAGGAATATAACTTATATCATTAATTTATCAAAAAAGATTACTGATTTTTTACGTCACGTGACACGTTGCACGCTTCTCGTATCTAATAATAACACTGTCTTTTTATTTATTTAGTTATTAGAAGATTCTCAGCACAATACAGAAACAAATGTATATATATATATATATATATACCATTATGGGCCAATTACAAATCTTCACATATAGTTTTTTTTTTTAACAACTAAAAGGGAAACATGCCAAATATTTTTAGTTTATAATACAAAACAGAAAAAAAATTGTGCGTGTACTAGGTGTACACACGTAAGAAGTGAAACTTCTTTATGATCTTATTTTTCGAAAAATGATCTACTATATGCAACTTTACAGAAATTCGTTAAATTAGATAAAGTTTAACAAAAGGCTTTTATTATCATAGACATGAATACAAATACTTCATTTTACCTTATTACTACGAAGATTATTATAGAATTTCATTAATTGTAATAGAATTATTACTATCATTGAAAAACGTGACGATTTGCTACAAAATTTCTCCCATACGTCGATAAAGAAGTTTCGTTCCAACGCCGATAAAGAAGTTTGACTTCAAAAAGCAACATGGCGCGTAATGAAAAAATGTTACACTAAATTTTTTTCCAACCTCGATAAAGAATTTTCACTTCAAAAAAACAGAATCTAAATCTCAATGCATTTCATTCATCATGGTTGATTGAAATTGGAGGTTAATTTCTTCGGAGACTGTTTTTGATCAAAATATAATTTAAGCATGATAATTAAAAAACTTGACATTTGTTTACTGGTTTACAATCAATATACGTCATAGGGACTGACGCGACGCCATCTTGTCTAGAAAAGCTTTTTGGCGGGTTCTTGAAATTAGGAACGTTTAATTTGTATTTTTAAAGCCAATTAAAAACAATTTGTACAGGTTTAGTAGTGGCTAATAAATAAACATTTAGATTTTTAATACTTGACAAATAGCCCATTGCATTCTTTTGTCTCTTTCTAACAAACCGCATTTACGCTGTGACGAAAAGGGATAAAGGAGTAGTTCAGTGTACAGCTCTCAAATCAAGGTCTTTATGGAAACTTACCTTCCTCCATAAGTCTATGTGTGCGTGTTCTAATAATACATGTACTGTGTGATATCGCGGCGTCTGCGCAGAATGAGTCATACAGGCCACGTGCAACGCGTTGTGACCTGAAGAAATAAAAAACACTATACTTTTTCGCCATTGAGATGTGACTAGAGAATGGAGAGGTCACATGGAGCTGACAAGTAGTTGCAGGTTTATTAGATGGAGGAAATAAATCATGTTAACTGTGCAAAAATTTATCAAAATTTAGTATTTTTTTACATACCATTAGCATTAGCATGGTGTAAGCTAAACAGGACAGGCTCCCCTTCACTTGGCTCTACGAGCTCATAGAGCGCGTTCGAGTACTCATCACCGCCGCGTGCGCAGGCGATCACGAGGTTATCGCGAAGTGCGTCCACCTACAAAAAATAACATTGCTGAACTCTGGCTAGTGTTTTGTGCTAGAAGAAGAGTTATGTGCGGACGTGACGCAAGTATACAGCGTGCTGTGTAAACAATACACCATGTCTTTTTCAGGAGGAAAATCTGCGTTTTAACTAACATATTTAAACAAAAATTTCATCATTGGACGTCGAGGCAGAATACGAAATTCCACCCGTATCACTTCAACGTCCGTCGTTCCACAACTGAGCGTTTTTTTGTAGGTTTTTGCCGCCACCACTATGTGGAACCAGCTGCCCGCTAAGGGTCCGTTCACACAGACCGGCTCGGAGAGGAGAGCAGATTTTTATCACGTTGGAAACAGTGTTTTGAGTGATTGTAGTAAAGTTTATTTTTGCATTTGCACCTTTTTTGTCATTAAAAATGCCTGAACGCGCTTCGTGTGAAGTAATAAAAGGAGCCGACCGGCTCCGCTTGCGTGCTCTTTCTCGCTCGCGCAGCCGATCGGCTCTGATTGCGTGCTCTTTCTCGCTTGCGCAGCCTGTCGGCTCCGATTGCGTGCTCTTTCTCGCTCGCGCAGCCGATGGGCTCCGATTGCGTGCTCTTTCTCGCTCGCGCAGCCGATGGGCTCCGATTGCGTGCTCTTTCTCTATCGCGTAGCCGATCGGCTCCGATTGCGTGCCCGCTGCGGCCGCGCCGACCGCCATTTTGATAGCAACATTTGAACGTAATAGTTGTGCGTACTTGTACGAAAAGATGAATGATGAAAAATTAATAATACTCGTGTCAAAATATGAGTGTTTATTTGACATAACCAAGCCATCATATAGCGATCGGATAATGAAAGACAATGCATGGGAGGAAATTAGCAAATGTCTCGGAATAAGTGGTAAGTAAGGTTTTCATTGTTTTACACCTACCCCCAGATACTCAAACGAATTTTAAAGCAAGGGCTTCTTAAACTCGTGCTGCGACGTGTTAGATTCAAAGTCAAAATAGGAATAACATGAGTTTAAATGCGCCCTTACTTTAAAAACTCGTTTGAGTATCTGATCGTTAGAATATACTTATGTAGTAGACAATTTTTATTAAATATAACTTAAGAAACTCGCGTAGCCACTTGATCTTGCCAATCTAAAGCACCACTTGATGAAAAATAATCCTTAAATTTATTCCTTGTGGTTAGAACTGCGTCGCTATTAGAACTGTTTTCATTATTATTGTCTGTTATTGCTGTTAATAAATTTATATTGCTGTGAAATTCATTCTCTTGTCCTGGCGTCCGATTTTCTATTAAAAAATTATGTAAACATGTAGTTGCTAATATAATTAAATCACAGTACTTCGGCTGAATTTTCATTCGTTTTTGATAAATTTCAAATCTTTGAGTTAGCATTCCAAATGCACATTCTACGACTTTTCTTGCCCTGCTTAAACGCAGATTAAATACTTTTTTTGATAATTCTGTTCTTGCTTGTTCTCTTGGATACGGCCGCAATATATTATTGCTCAAAGGAAATGCCTCGTCTCCTATAAAAACATGTGGTAAGCTTTCAGTGGTACTAGGTAGAGGTTTATTTGGGGGCAGCTTTAACTTATTGGTGTTGAGTTTTTTCCAAAATTTTGAATTCTGTAAAATTCCGCCGTCGCTATTTTTACCATATGATCCGACATCAACAATTAAAAAACTGTATTTCGCGTCGACCACAGCTAGTAACACTGTACTGAAAAAGTTTTTATAATTATAGTATAAGCTTCCACTATTATCTGGTGCCTGTATATTGACATGCTTTCCGTCTATAGCGCCCAAACAGTTAGAAAAATTCCAAATATTAAAGAAATCACGTGAAACCTTTTCCCACATTTCTTCATCTGGCATCTGCATAACTATGGGCATCAAAACATCACAAATTACTCTGATTGTCTCATGAATAATTGAATGAACTGTAGAAATTCCCATTCGAAAATTAAATGACAAGTTTTTGAAACTGCAACCAGTGATGAGGAATCTGTAAAAATAAAACAAACACACAAAATAGAAATATAAGACTGCCGTACCAAAACGAACTATAAAATAAAAAAGAGTTATGTTATTAATTTTTCATTTCTGTTCTTTCCAGTGACGCAGTGCCAGGATCGTTGGAAGAAACTGCGAGATAACTTCAGAAAAGCCTATTATAACCGAAAAGGCAAGAGTGGCGATGGTGCAACTACGTCCAAATTGATAAAATTTGAAAAAGAACTTTCTTTTATAATACCATTTTTTCGCAATCGAAACCAAATATCTAATGTAACATTATCATCGGATGATTCAGAGCCTGGCACACCAATACCACCACCATCGACATCATCTAAACGTTCTGACCATTCTGAAGTTGAATCGCTTGCAAGTACTTCTGGCTCGAAAAAGAGACCACGCTTAAGCAAAGATGTTGCTACGGTTTTCGAAGAGTATCTTGAAGAAAAAAGAAATACTACACCCCGTGACAAGGCATTACGTATTTTTTTTTGTCTATGTCAGATACAGTGGAAACATTCCCAAAAGAAGTCCAAGCACGAATTAAAAGGCGCGTGTTTAACATTGTTAATGAAGCTGAATTAAGTCTGTATGAAAATAGTACAGATTTGAATTATTCTTTGTCTATAAATTCACCGCCATCGACTAATCAATCTACTTACCTAGTGTCAAACGAAACCTATATTCCTCAAAACTATCCAGATCAGACTTGCGGGTACAATACCAGCACACAAAATACAAAATAATAAACAATCAAAAACAATAATAATTATAATAATAATAATTAAACACACACAAATCTGTACTATTTAATTACATTTCATTAACGTAAATAATGCTTAATAAATGGAGGGCTGTGATTTTGTGATCTATTTAGATGTTTGTGTTATTTAACATGATTAGTATAAGTAATTTACATTTCATTAACGTAAACAATGCTTAATAAATGGAGGGCTGTGATTTTGTGATCTAAATAACATGATTAGTATAAATAATTGTTTTTTATTTACCTTAAAGTTACCGTTAACCTTTCTTCGGCTGTAATGGTGCAACGATAATTTGTAGTCTTTTTTGTTATATGTACTCTTAACAAATCTGTCAATTTCAAAAATTGCCAATATTCCATACGATAATACTCATAAAATTTTAGGCTATCTCTCTTCAATTCCTCGAAAATGGTGTGAAACTCCCCATGGATTAGTCTGTTTTTCCAAATATGTTTTACCCATATTTGTTTCCGCTTGCGCTTACGTTTCCTATGTTCTATTTCAAGTAATCTTGCTAACAAATATATTTCTTCGTCGGAGCTATCTAAATCCATGTTTCGAAAAGCACACGTTAACACACCGAAAACAAAACTTAGACTGCGCGGAATACTGGCACTGCCTTTGTAGTGTATCCACCCGACTCCGAGCGCATCCGACCGGCTCCGAGCACATCCAACCGCACCCGCTTTCAGATCTCTTCCAGCCGGTCGATGTGAAATAGTTGGCGGCTCCGCTCCGGCCAATTCCAAGCGTATACGACCCGGTCTGTGTGAAAAGAAAAAAGCAGGCCGATGCTCTCCGAGCCGGTCTGTGTGAACGGACCCTAAAGTATTTCCGAAGCAATTCGACTTAGGATCCTTCAAGAAAAGAGCGTACAAACTTAAAAGGCCGGCAACGCACTTGCGAGCCCTCTGGCAATATGAGTACGGTACACTTAACATCAGGTGAGCCTCCTAGCCGTTTGCCCCGTTACATAAAAAAAATCAAAGACAAGTTACACGTATTCACCTCAGTAAAGATACACTCATGTGTCCGTTTGTTTGTATCAGTTTTGATTACTGTCCGAATGCACTGAACCAGATATCGCGTGAGGAGCGGTCGCTTCGGGCATCGAAGTACTGCCAACTTCAAAAGGTTTAAACCTGAAAAATATTACAACTATAGAAGAAAATAAGTATAAATGGCGTCTCATTGCGTTCTAGCAATTACGTCATTACGAACACGCGCGTATAGAGAACGAGCACGTACGCGTACTCGCTAGAGACGCATTAAAAAATATACAGAAATTCACCTTAATACGCCGCAATTTAAACATTCATTTGCATTAATAATATATTTTAGTTATTACGCTATTGCATAGATTTTATCGCGGGCTTTGAGCGCGGCGATCGAATCAAGGAATTCCGTAACAAAATAAACCTAACACACGATGACGTAATATAGGTGCGGCCAATACGCGTTAGAGCGGGACAGAACGCATACTGCGTCTCACATCGGTTTAGCGTGATCGGATAGGCGTGTTAGTCTGAGTCTGGTAGAGTGGTAGATTGAATTAATGTCAAAGTAAAAACTTAAATTAATATCAAAGAAAATAAAATACTGCTAAAAATAAATAAATAAATAATTATATTGCATAAGTTTATAACAATTGCTATGCAATAGCTTTACCGCGGCAGTCCCCGAGTGCCACACGTATTTTTTATTATATTTTAAGGTTAGTTATTGTTTTTTTGTTATTAACTAAAACGTAGATGAATGTTTAAGTAATAAATATATACAGCTGGTAGCATATACTGTAGATATAGCATTATGTATGATATTTACATTAATCATAATTATGCATACATGTACGTCACTACAGCGATAAACGCAACCAGAACATTCCAGAACTATATTTGTTTTACTATTTGTACTATTATTTTGTATATAAACGGGACAAGATCCTTTAAAACTTAAAGTATTAACGAAATTTAACAAACATACCGAAGTCTTGGACGAACAATTCCGGCTGCAGTGCTAGCACTTTTTCACAGATAAGACTAAAAAGCGCCAACTGCAGACTTTCCTCGGTGTTGCCATTCGACAAACTCGCCAGGATGTGCTGAAGGACACTGAAAAAAATTATATTGTTTATTATATGCATCTGCTTGGTTCTCAACAGGCGTTCTCACCGCTTGTGGAGGAAGGACTTTTTTAACCTAAAGGACCTCGAACAGTCTAACCACTGGCTGGCCCGAAGGCCCCAGTGGCCTTGATTAGTGTAAATCGTATATTGGGCAGACTTGGGAGCCCTAGGTTTGATTTCCAATAATTATTTAGGCTTGCAAGTCAAAAGTGAAACCAATGCTAAAATGTGTCTGCTTATAGAGGTGATTTTGTTTATACTAATAATATTTTTTTATGTTAATTTATTGAAGTAATAAATTTCATTAACTTAAATCACAAAACCCATGTTGGAATAAAAATAAACGTCGATCCAAAAACAGGTAACAATGGGTGTCACAACTATAAATTATTGCCCACAACAAGAATATTAAACAGTTGGACTTACCCGTAAGCAGTTTTCAAATCTAAACTGGCAACCTTTTGGCATAGCACCTTCCTGTGTTCCATTTTCAAGTTTGACATGTGTCTTTCGAATATTTCCTTGCACGGTTTTCGCTTTGCTTGACAGCATTCCATTTTCGAAAATTCGTTTGCGATCTCCTTTTGCATGTCCTTGTATTGCTTCATTGTCATGGACGTGCTCGGTATTCGTTCCCGCGTTTTCTTGTCTGTGGTTTCATGTACTTCGTCTATGACCCAGCTTGGATAGTCTTCTAGCGATGGTATGTCTTGACACTTCTCATAGTCACAATTGTACATTGGCGATGACGTTTGCGTTTGGGGTGACAATGAATAATCCGAATGGTTTGTGTAAAAGACTGTTGAGTCTGAGATGGGGCTTGGGACATTTTCTGAGCGCGGAGGCGTGGGGAATACGTTCAACGTGTCAAATTCAGGGTTTTGGAGGCATTCGGGGAATAATTCGAGCGTGTCGTACTCTGTTAACGTGTTTGAACTTGACATTTCCATTGGGTTGTCACTTTGAAAGCTGAAACCGCCAATAAGGGTATCTGTGGGGGGTTCTACTATCCTTGGTATTTCGGCTTGGTTGAAAAAGTCAGCTAGGATATTCTCATCTGTGTTTTCATTGACGAATTCGTCTGCTAGATCAAGGAAGGTCGATAGATCTTCATTATTATAATCTCTGACAGTTGTGTCAACTAATTCTATAACTTTGCTTAAATATGTGTTGTCTGTCCGTGTGTTTTCGTTCACAATTACTTGTCCACCGGAGAAAGTTTGTTTGTTCACTTGGTTGATCTGAAATTATCAATCTGTTAATAATTGAAACGCGATATAACGTTTACAATTTAATACTTAAGGGTTTAATTTTATAATACCACGCATTTTTTAAAATTTAATCAGTTTATTGCAGTTTTAACTTTCGGTTTTAATTTTTGTTACATGAGGCAAATGGGCAGGAGGCTCATCTAATGCTAAGTGATACCGGCGCCCATGGACACTCATATTGCCAGAAAGCTCGCAAGTGCGTTGCCGACCTTCCAATTATATACATCAAACTATAAAATACTCTTTAATATAATACATATATAGATTTAGTTTTGATGAATTTTGAAAATATATCGTTTCTATAGAAAACTTAAAACACGTTATTTAATTAAACAAGGGCAAGTTATCGATTCTGGCTAAATAGTATTTCGAGGCTATAAATAATGCGTAGCGGATTATAATTTATAAGTAAAAGCGTAACTAACTGCCGATTAATTAATAACGGTTTTATTTAATTTGTACCTATTTATCTGTGGAAACTAAACATAGTCTGTCCAATCTGTATAAATAAATTTTTATATATTTAACAAAACCACATAAAAGATTGATATGGCAATGGAATAAAACGTAATCTAATAAGTAAATTCTGCGTATTACATAGAGTTTAAGCAACCTATAAGCCGCAATTAGTTAAACAATGTTTAAACGATATTTGCCAATTGACACAAGTAATAAACAATTCGGAGTTTAGAATCGTTTTTGATTTAACATATTTTTGTTATTTTTTTAAATTTATAATGCTACAAATGTAATTATTTTATTTTATCTCACACACTGTTTTGTTGTGTTTTTTTAATATTTTTATTACTCTTTAATGTTATTATTCTACGGTTTCGATATTTATAAATATGTGAGGACTGAGGAACATGTATACTAACTTTTTTAGTATAGTAGTTTATTCCAAGAGTACATTGTCTTCACATATAATTATTTAACAAATGTAACGAAATATTGTAAACCTATTTTAAAAGAGTAAGCGTGGAGTTTCTTTCCCATTCTTCTCCACACGAAACTACCTCTTGGAAGGGGCAACTAGAATCTTCTTTGTATTTTTTTTGACGTTCAAAAGTGCCATTTTAGATGGTCTAATTGAAATAAATGATTTGACTTTGACTTTAACATTGAAAATAAGAGTCTATGACTCCCGAATGTCAATATCCAATACTTTTTGACATAATGGAGTCATACATAGCACTAAGACAAAATTTAATGTATATTTTACCTGTCTGCATTCAGATTCCCGCGAATATGGATGTGGCGGCGTTAAAAACTGGTTCCTGATGGGTCCCCTCGATATCAGCACTATCTGCTTCTTTTTCCTTCTACCCTCACAGATGTCGTCCTCCGAATCAGCTGTCTCATTCTTCTCCGAGAAGCCACTGTCTTCTGACGTCTGCGAGTCGATTTTCGTCCGTCTGCCCTCGTTCAATTTAAAGTTATTGAAGCTGTCTTCAGAGAGCTGCGAGTCGTTTCTTTCTTTTTGAAAACTCGCTTCGGAGACTTCTGAATTTTTCCGCTTATCATCTATTGTTTTGTATGTGAAATTACTGAATTCGTCTTCTTCTTCTTGCTTTATTTTAAGATTTTTTATGTCTTCTATTAGTTCACTAACTGGGACCACTTTGATCGGTTCTATTTTATGTGTGTCTTCATGTTTTACTTCCCTTTTCTCTTTTTGTTTATCTTTTTTGAAGAGCGCCTGGAATGGCTTTTTCAATATGTCCTTGATCGATTTCTTTTGTGACGCCATTTGAGTATTTACTGTAGCGTGTTTAGCGCTACCCATATTTATTTAAAGCCACTATCGTCCCATTGAGTCTGAAAACAAAAACGTTAAATTTAAAATAAAAAGCAATATTTATTTATTTAAAAATCTTGCTAACGCTTGGCATACTGATACATTAGTACATAAAGAAAAATAAATAGATTTAATGTGATTAGCACATATGCAAATATAACTAACACGAAGATAAAAAAAAAACATAAGGGAAATTTATCTGTAGTCTATGGTCAAAAAAATCTAAGTCACCAATGACACTTTCTACAACCATTATGTAACCTATAATTGTGGAAAAATATGATATCCCGTTTCCGAGAAAAACTACCGAAATGAAATTTTTGGACATTCAGCTCATACCAAAATAAACATCATTTCGGAACTAAGAACTATCATTGTGACGTGCAAACGTCTATCTAATTACGCACTGAGAACGGGCAAGGTTAAAATCATTGTTTCCTTCAATGGGAATAGGTGACAACGTCCTTTGATTAAGATATGGAAAATTGCAGATATGGCCAGAAAATTATCTTTGACGAAATTTTTTCACCTTGTTCAAAATCATGAATGATAAGATTTTAAAAGTAGTATAGGTATCTATTTCAATGTTAATAAAAGATATAAGATAAATTGTATTAGATAAACAATTTTATACTACAAATTTTATCAGATTAAGATAAGCATTTATGCGTCAGAGATTCCACGAATTATATATAAACAGTATTTGTATGGAAGACGTGTGCAGCTCCAAAGACGTATTTGTAACGACGAACATTGTTCGAATGTTATTCAAGTAGCAAATGTATGTAAAATGTATGCGTTTACATTATCATAAGGACGTATACGAATTGACGACACGATTCTATTGAAATGGAGATTAATTGCCCGTCCCACCGTCTAGGTACTCAAGAGCTTCTAATGAATTCCGACGTTCTCGATTGCAATTTAGATAACGTTTTTTAAACTGACGCAACTTCACGCGCGAGTCAATATTAAAAACGGTATCGCTGCAGTTATTAGATAATTCAAAGTACCGGTGGTGTTCTGATCAATTACTTAGACGTCAAACAGTTTGCGATGCTGAAAAGTTTGGATGGGTTTTCAATTGCAGCGGCACTGTTTCAACTATTTTATCATCACCTTTTAATAATAATAATAATTATAAATCATTTATTTACAAGAAAGTGGTACACTTATATCGAGCAATTTTAAAATCCGCACTATCGGTCACACAAAAATTGGCAGGCAAACATTAATTTTCATTAAGTTATATAATAAGAACATCTGTGATAATAGGTAATCAAGCTATTTATAATTAATTGTTAATAATAATAATAATAATCATTTATTTGCAAGAATATGGTATAAAAATCTTATGGTTGTACAATCTTAACTCCGCATATTCTGCCACATATAATAGCGTGCAAATTTATCTTACATAATTAACAATTAGAATTTTACTATATTACAATCAAGCCTTATGTGATTTTATAATCACATTATTTATTTTTTATATCCGGACAATCAGCCATATATAAATAGGCATGCAAATGTCATAAATTTTTGCTATGTCATATAATAAAAACATTAACATAATGTCATGATAATACGTCAAGCTATTTATAATCAATTGTTGTCAAACTTATAGGCCAAATATTCGCCTACGCTATAAAAGCACCTTGACTTTAGAAACCCAATCACCTTCCCTTTGAAGACATTACATGACAGCGATCTATAACTTCTGGGAAGGTGATTAAATATTCTTATAGCCATGGCGTTACAATTTTTAGAATATAGCGCGGTGCAACATGCAGGCACCCGCAGCCGTGTTGGATCCCTCGGTATATATAAGCACGTTTCTTTGTATGTATTAAATAGTTTTGGATACTTCTTGACAGTCATAACTGCTTCCAAGATATACAAACTTGGTACTGTCAGAATACCGAGTTCGTGGAAAATTGGCCTACAGCTCATAAGAGGTCCAACGCCCATGATAGCCCTAATACATTTTTTCTGAGTAATAAAAATTTTACTCACATCTACCGAATTTCCCCATAAAAGGATACCATAGCGCAAAACTGAGGCAACATAGCCGTGGTAAGCAATAATTGCTGCGTGTTTTGAAGCTACTTTGGAGTTCGACTCAAAGCAAAAACAAATTTATTAAGGTGCGTGCATATCGTTAAAATATGTTGTTTCCAGTTAAGATTTTGGTCTAGTGTTATGCCTAGAAACTTGGTTGAAACAACTTCTTCAATTGACTTGTTTTTATAATTGATTTTGAGGTTATTAGGTCTGCAATTATTATAGTTTCGAAATTGTATAAAATTGTTTTTTTTTACATTTATACTTAAATTATTAATTTCCAACCATTCCGTGACATTCTTTATTGTTTCATTCAATAATGATTCGTGGTTACGCGTAGTATCATTCGACACAACCACTGAGATATCATCCGCGTAAAGAATGCATTTATTAGTAACCAAATTTGGTAAATCATTAATGTACAGAAGAAACAGCAATGGGCCCAGTATGCTCCCTTGAGGAACGCCTTTATTGCAATCTATAGCCACAGACTTGTACCCCCTTTCAATATGTTTAGGAGATGAAGTATGTGTGATTTCAACATATTGTTTACGACCGGTTAGGTAACTTTCCAGCCAATTTAAAGGCAATCCTCGGATTCCATAAAGTCTACACTTTTGAAGAAGAATGTTGTAGTCTACGCAATCAAAAGCTTGGCTCATGTCAAAAAAAACTACAGATACCTGCTTGCGCCTATCGATATGTTCTACAATTGCCTTAACTAAAGAGAAAGCTGCTAGGATAGTATTTTTTCCTCTTTGAAAACCGTACTGTTCATCATTTATAACATTGAATTTGCCTAAAAAAGAGCTCAACCTATTGTGCATAAGTTTTTCCAACACTTTAGCTAAAGTTGGTATTAAAGTTATAGGTCTGTAGTTTCTAATATCCTCTGTATTACCCTTTTTAAACATAGGTTTAACTATTGATAATTTTAAAGAACTGGGAAAAATACCCTGTGTGAAAGATAAATTTATGAGATGGGTAAGGATACTTGCTAGTTGTTGTGAAGAGAATTTTAACACTTCTGTTGTTATTGAGTCATAACCTGCTGCTTTAGTATTATTAAGATTATTTATAGCTTTGAAAACTTCGTCACATGAACAAGGAGTTTGTTGTCAAAGTTATGGGGCAAATACGAGTACTATAACTACTACTGTATACTTTATAATAAGCATTTGACATATCTTGGTTGCAAGTTTGACATTTTGATGTTAAGGCGATAATTTGTTTACGTACACAATTACTAAGAAAATTAATTTAACTAGAATAACACATTTGTTTACAACTTAAAAGGTCAGTCAGTTAAAAACTGACTTCAAAAATCCGAAGGATACAACGTGCGTGTTTTTAGCAAATCCACCAGAACGATTGGTGAATTTTGCTACTACTAACATTTTCAAGAGATTATATATAAATCAATAAATCGATTTAATTTCGTCAACCAGTTATTCAGGAAAGTAGCTATACAAAATTGACGAGTTGTAATGACTTGGCTATTTCTGTATTAATATGTTATGCGTCACACTAGTTCATGGGCAATAAGGATTAATAGGTTTTATCAATGTTAACATTATCACCCTGAGGGGGGTTAAACCCCCCCCCGGGTTGGTTGGTATGTCAGTTTAATTACCGTTGTGCACAATTCACTGTGGAAGCAGCTGCCCACTGAATTAATTACTTTACTTAGTGTCCTTCAATAAAAGAGCGTACCATTTCTTAAAAGTGCGTCGCCGGCACTTGCGAACCTCCTGGCAATGTAGTGTCTATGGGCGGCGGTAAGACTTAACATTAGATGAGCCTTCTGTGTTCCATGTTGGTATGTACTAAAAAGGTAGGCTAGGCATTAAGGAAAACGAAGTTCGCGGGAGCAGATAGTAGTAGTAGTAGAAATGTATTTTGACATACTGGAGTTATCGAAATCTCGACCCTAATCCTTGGATTCGAATTGTATCTTTTGAAGGTGTTTAAATAATATTTTATTGTAATATACAATGTAAATAATATTCTAATTTATTGGATTATCAAGATTCAAGGTTATCAATCGCAGTACCCGTTATTGGGTAAGCCCCAGTTTTAATAGATATCAGATAACACCTTAAAAAACCCGAAGGAGTATTTATATGAGAGCACGAAACCCAAAATCGACCTAACTTTGAACCAGACTGCCGACTGTATTTTAAGAAGAATTGCAAATTAATGTACCCACTTAAAACATTTTACGTATGAAAAATATTTAATATACCCACTTAAAACATTTTACGTATGAAAAATGTTTAATGTACCCACTTAAAACATTTTACGTATGAAAAAAGTTTAATGTACCCACTTAAAACATTTTACGTATGAAAAAAGTTTAATGTACCCACTTAAAACATTTTACGTATGAAAAAAGTTTAATGTACCCACTTAAAACATTTTACGTATGAAAAATGTTTAATGTACCCACTTAAAACATTTTACGTATGAAAAATATTTAATATACCCACTTAAAACATTTTACGTATGGAAAATTTTGAGTTAATGTAAAACCAAATTAACCATAAATAGATCGTCATATATATCTAAAATTGTATTTATTCAACATATTTTACGTCCAAATTTGAACTCATTTTCCTTATTATTTAATTAAATCTTTATGCTGAAGGTCAATGCGATGACGTAATGTTTCCCGATCACTGAGGGGCCAGTTTTGAATCTATTTTTATACGCTAACCGATCCAACTCCGATCCTCAATTGTTTCTCCTGTTTTGGTCTGTTATACGTTTTAACTGTACCTATGAATATAGGCAGGTCTTTAACTCAACAGATCTTCATAAGGTAGCTTGTGAATCATGATATTTTTTCTAATAGGGAAGTAGGTGATCAGCCTTCTGTATCGGACGTACCGTCTACTTCCTCTAAGGCATCCTTACGATGTTTT